CAAAGAGACTTTTAAAAGCAGCAAGAGAAAAGCAGTCAGTTGCTTACAAGGAAGTGCACATATGACTGTCAGCTGATTTCTCAACAGGAACTTTGCAGGCCAGAAGGGATTCACAAAAAATATTTAAAGTGATGAAAAGCAAGGACCTGACAACCAAGACTATTTTACCCAGCAAAGCTCTCATTTAGAATCAAAGGACATGTAAAGTGTTTCCCAGACAAGAAAAGCTAAGTAGGTCATCACCACAAAATCCATATTACATAAAATGTCAAAGGGTCTTCTTTCAGAAGAAGAAAAAAATTAAAACTATGAATAATAAAATAAATATATATCTATAAACAATTGAATCTAAAAAAATAAATAAACAAACAAACATGCAAAACAGAAATGGATTCATGGATACAGAAAACATTGCTGGGGGGATGGGTGAAAAGGATGAAAGAATTAAGAAGTACAAATTGGTTGTTACAGAATAGTCATGAAAAATAAAGTACAGCATAGGAAATATAGTCAATAATATTCTAATAATTATGTATGATGTCAGATGGGTCTGAGATTTATTGGGATGATAAGTTGGTAAGTTATGTAATGTCTGGAAAATCAATGAGGTATACACCTAAAATATATAATAATACATGCCATCTGTAATAGAAAAATTTTTTTTAATTATTAAAAAAAGAAAACTCTTAGACAAATTTATAGGTCAAGACTATAAGCAATTTTATCCTATCTGGACTATATATTCTTCCCCCCTTGAACATGGATGCTTGTGCTTCAGACAAGTGTGGGGATCCAGAAAGATACCAGACATTATTATAATCTTGGAACTTATTGAAACTTGGTTTAAAAAGCCTTTCTCCTTGGGTGAGGCCTGTATAGTGCCTTAACCATAACCTAACTCACATGGCCAAGTATCTGCAGACTCTCTAACCCAATGACCTCAGTCATATTTTACATATCTCTAGGATCCGCAGTGGAGTACATTATTGAGGACATGGTTCTTTGTAACCAAATAGGCATAGTGTGTAACATCTTATCTAATAAAAGAGTAATATGCAAATAGACTGTACCTCCCTTACACCCACAAGCCACGCCCACCAGCCAATCATGAGAGAATAACCCAAACAAGATGGCTGTGGCCACAGAGAGCAGGAAGGAGGCTTGGGTTTCCCTGGCGATGGAGGAAGCCAAGCTTTCCACCTGCCCTTGCCGGCCTAGGCCTCCACTCAATGCTACAAAGGTTCAATTATAGAAGATAATCCCAACAAAAATGGCAGCAGCCATGAAGCTGGAAAGAGTAGGAGGCTAAGGTTGCCCCTGGCAATGGAGGAAGCCAAGCTTCTGCAGCCCTAGCCAGCTGAAGGCTCCACTCCAGGCTACGAAGTTTCAATTATAGAAAATAAATAAATCCCAACAGAAATGGCAGCCACCTAGGATCGAGCAGAAGGCTTGGCTTCGCTCCAGGCTACAACGTTTCAATTGTAGAAGATAAATAAATCCCAGATACCAGGGCCTCTGTTTGGGTGACTGGAGGGCGTGGATGGCCTGCAAACCACCACAGGCCCCTCGCCCAGGCTGCCCCATGCCCCAGGGGAACCCCCACGCTGATCCAGAATACCCTTCAGGGCAAACCAGCTGGCCCCCACCCATGCACCAGGCCTCTATCCTGTCTAATAAAAGAGTAAGATACAGATTGACCATCTCCAACACACAAGATGGCTGCCCCCATGTGTTCAAAGATCCTGTCCCCATGTGGACACAAGATGGCCACCACAAGATGGCCAGCAGGTGAGGGCTATTGTGAGGGACCAGGCCTTCAGGGGAGGGCAGTTAGGGGTGATCATGCCAGCAGGGGAGGTCAGTTAAGGGTGACCAAGCCAGCAGAGGAGGGAAGTTGGGGGTGACTGGGCCTGCAGGGAAAAACAGTTGGGGGGAGGGGGAACCCAAAGCCTGCAGGGGACAGCATTAGGGGGAAAACCAGGCCTACAGGGGAGGGCAGTTAGGGGCGACCAGGCCTGCATGGGAGGGCAGTTAGGGGCAAACAGGCTGGCAGGGGAGCAGTTAGGCTTTGATCAGATTGGCAGGGGAGTGTTTAGGGGGTAATCAGGCTGGCAGGCAGAAACAATTAGGGGCAATCAGGAAGGCAGGCAGGGGAGCAGTTGGGAGCCAGCAGTCCTGGATTGTGAGAGAGATATCTGATTATCTGGTGGGATCAGGCCTAAATGAACAGTCAGACATTCCTTGAGGGGTCACAGATTGGATAGGGTGCAGGCTGGGCTAGGGACACCAGCTCTAGTCTATATAATAAAAGCCTAAGCACCATTATGGCAGATCGACCAGAACAACCAGTTTTATGAGCTGTCCCCTGGTGATCAGTGCACTCCCACAGGGGGAGTGGTGCTCAGCCAGAAGCTGGGCTCACAGCTGGCAAACGCAGCGGTGGTGGGAGCCTCTCCTGCCTCTGTGGCAGCGCTAAGGAGCAGTGAGCTGAGCAGTAAGGAGCAGCAAGCAGGCAGGTAGTAAGGACTGAGGAGTCCCACATTGCAAGAGGGCACAATCCGAGCTAAGGGGATCCCCCCAAAGCATGAATTCATGCACCTGGCCTCTAGTAATATATAAATCCATTATAAACATCTCACTAATTCTTATTAAATGGGGGGAAAGTAATGTGAATTCATGAAACTCAATTATTTTCTAATGGAAAAGGAAAAAGTCCTCCAGGATAAATTTTAATGAACAATTTTTATTTATTTGTAATTGGCATATCATTTTACTATAAATACTTTAAGCTTCTGAATTACCTGCAGCTTGGAGGGCTTAATCAAGCCATCTGAAGTTCAGTGTACACCAGTAATGGTCTTGCTCTTAAGACCTTCCTTCACAGAACTAGAATAGTAAATGTCCATTGATATTTAGGACTTTAAATATTCTGGCTTGGTGAGACCTAAATTCCAGTGATTGCACTTGAAAATCTTGAGTGCAAAGACTTCTGCTCTGATCATTCTCATAGTATGAGAATCTTACCTGAGAAAGGGTGTGAGGTAAGTGTGACCCCTTCAGAAAAATGGGTAAGGCTGTGCTTCTCAGTCAATTGACCAACCACCTGCAGAATGTTTATACTTTAGGATTTCCGTCTTCTCTGTGCTACTTTAGCAGCACACCTGATTTGGTTTTTTAGAGATAAATTTCAAAGAAAACATCACCTAAATTTTGTGCATCTCTCTGATGCCCAAAAATGTCAAGTTCATAATCTGCTATTATGATATGACTCAGAAAAGGGATCCCGTCAATCACAATCTCTATTATTTTTAAGAACCTCTAGTTTTCATTATCAAAAGCGAATGCCAGAACCAATTTGGTATTGAAAATTGAACACTTACTTAGCTGGATGAATAAAAACCATCATGTGGTAAGTTTGTGTTTGTTTGTGTGTTTTTTTAATTCAAGGTCAGGGAGAAAATGTGTTGCGAATTAGAAACATCAATCAGCTGCCTCTTGCACACCCCCTACTGGAGCCCAGGTACATGCCCTTGACTTGAATAGAACCTGGGACCTTTCAGTTCTCAGGCCGATGCTCTATCCACTGAGCCAAACCGGTTTCAGCTGTTGCTAATATTTTTTGGATAGGTTGGAGAGACAATTTTCCAACAGTAAATTTGGCTATATACAAAATGAAGACTATAAGAAATCTGACAATTTTTTTCTCATCTTCTTAAATGGTATTTAGTTTTAAAATCACCAACCTAGAGATTTAGTGTCAATTTGAGGTTGTTTTTTCTTACCCCCATTTTAATACATTTAATCCCATCTGACAACATGTATAATCATGATTATACATGTTGTCAGATTTCTTACACAGAACCTGTGAGAATCTTGTTCTCACAGGTTCTGTGTAAGAAATACTAAAAACCCTATCTGCCATTTAGGGTATCAGACCAACAGATAGTAAAACTTCCCTATGTGATGCCTCCCAGGCACCCCAAAAATCACATTCATCTCCCCTGTTACCAAAACAGATTTTTATCTAGATTCTTCCATTTCTAAATAGTACCATCAATCACTGAACCATAAGAAATGGCTTTTTTTTGTAGGTCATAAATAAATTAATATTGGCAATTTCAAACAGATAACTTTTTCAGACCAGAAATCTGGGTGAAATCCCTCTTACCTCACTTTCCTTCAACTCTTACAACAAGCCAGTCATAAAAACTAACAAATTCTATTTCTCAAGCAGGTTCTAAATCCATCTCTAAAGCAACCACTTTAGCACAAGTCATCATTGATTGGCCTCAGCAATCAATGAGGTTCATCCAGCTGAGTAAGTGTGCAATGACCACGTTATATCATCCCACTTCTAGGCTAGAAACCAGTCCACAGCCCCTCCCTACCCTGCACACAGTTCTTCCCTTCACTCACTCCCACCTCACTCTGTTTTCTGGTTACTGTACTCTTATTTTCTCAATATGCTCCTTGAGAGTCTTGGTTTTTTATATATGTTCTAATTTTTCTATTTAGGATTTTTAAAAATGAAATTGAAACATTTCATTGCCTTAAAAAAATTCAAAATCAAAAGGCTATACCAAGATTCTGGAACTTTTCTGAATTATTCCCTGGCCTGGCTGCATCTAGTGGTAGTTACTGTTAAAAGAAAAATAACAATAATCAAAGCTAATATTTATTGAGAGTCAAGCTGACAGAGCTAATTAAGGTGCAGAACAGGGGCTGTGAAGTTTGGCAGAGCTAATAAATGGTATGTGTTAGAAAGAGCCATCATTCAAAACATGCTTTGAGTGCTCTCAGCCACTCAATCTTTGGGAAAGACAACCTTTCAAACACAGGGACTCTCTCTCTACACCCTGAAGACTAAGATCAGTGACTACAGATAGATCCAAAAGACATATTTTAGTTGTAATGCTTCTAAATGTGCTCTAGTTAATCCCACTCCATTTCCAGGAGCAACTCTCCCTCAAGCAGCACCTCACTGAAAGCAGGGATCCTACCGGGAGGAAGAGTCTCTGGGCAGCACAGGGTTTGAACAGCTTCCTCCACTCCTGGGGGTTTCCCGTGGAAAATGTGATGGGGTAGATTCTGTGCACAAACTTCTCCGTATACGAGTCAGGCCACTGCTGTAACTGAAAAACATGGAAGTCAAGGGGAGGGTGATCAGACCCCCAGAAATATGGAAACCACCTGAAGCTTCTGAATGCTCAAATGGAATATATTCCAGAAACTTACATAAAAAGCCTTGCTATGTCGCCACTTTTGATGCTCGCTGAGGAAAGACCATTGCTATGATTAAAAAGTAACTTCCAAAGGTGGCAAGGGTGATGAGAAACACGTAAACACGGTGAGGACAGTACAAATCGAGCAAATTTTCAAGAGGGAAATTGGGAAAGTGGTAAGGACAAATCCTCAAAGGCAAAAATACAGAACTTTTACCAAAACCTATTTTTATAGAAAAGAAAAATGACACACACACTTAGAAACAAACAAAATGCTCCTAATTCGTTATTATAGAAATATGCAATGGACTACTGAACAGTTAAAATGAAATAGATCTATATGTGCTGACATGAAAATAATGGCTGATATTTAGTTAGGTTTTAGAAAAAGTGAGAAAGCAAGATTTCGAAAACCTATTTGAAGAAATAATGACAGAAAACTTCCCCCACCTGGTGAAAAAAATAGACTTACAAGTCCAGGAAGCACAGAGAGTCCCAAACAAGAGGAACCCAGAGAGGCCCACACCAAGACACATCATAATTAAAATGCTAATGGCAAAAGACAAAGAGAGAATCTTAAAAGCAGTAAGAGAAAAGCAGGTAATTACCTACAAGGGAGTAGTCATACATTTTATTTATTTTGTTTTTCGAGTGAGGCTTTTTATTGTTGTTTTTCTTCCTTTTTTTTTTTTTTTTTTTTTTTTTTTTTTTAATTAAGGGTCCCTTACTGGTCCTGCTTCTATGAGTTGCCAAGACTAGGTGGAAAGGGGGAGGGGAACCAGGCAACATGGGGAAGGGTTATCTTCACAACATTCCATTTATACATAGAACTGAACAGACAAGCAGAGTCACATTGCGGTTAGAAGTTAGCAGCATGGGAATGGGGGACGGGGGGAGGAACAGGTTGCAAGTAGGGGTGTCGTTAAAAAAAAAATACAGGCCCTCTCCAAAACTGGGGTGCCTGGGGTAGGGAGGACTTGGTCTGTTTCAACCCAAGAGGAATCAGAAGATCAAAAGCTGTCTGGGAAGGCCAGAACCATCAGGAGTGGAAGGAGAAGGAAGGTCCAGGAGGTGCGGGGCTGTTTGGCAACTGGGTGAAGGGATTTCCCTCCCCCTGCTGGGATCCCTCCAGCCCTACGGTCTGGCAGAAGGCAGGCAGCCTGCAACCCCCCACAAGCAGGTGTGGGGCTGCCAAATGCTCCAGGCAGGGGGCTGGAGAGGGCTCACAAAGGCTAGGGGGAGGACAGCACTGCCCCCCAGCTTCTCTGCCAGAGTGCAACGGTCCTTGACCTCCTCATAGCAGTTTGCTTGTAATTCATGCTTGATCCCCGTAAGTTTCTCCTTGGAGCTGGCGTAGATCATTTTGCTCTTAAGAGGAACAGACTCAGGGGTCCAGAAGATAAGCACCACGTCCTCCTTCTTGCTCTCCTTGGTCTCATAGGTTGCATCATACTGAGTGTAGCGGCAGTCTTTGTCCGGCAGCATCTTGACGAAGGTGGCGTAGAGGTCGTCCACTGTCTGGCCCACATCACCGACCAGGATCCCCTTGCCCTCTTCTACACACACACACACACACACACACACACACACACACACGGGCTGTCCCTGCCCCACTGTCCCTGCCAGAACAGATCGATGGCCATCCCCCTTTCTGTGTCCCATTATTTCCTAATACTGAGTCTAGGGTAGGAACATAGGGGAGCCAAATCTAAATCCCATAACTGATTCCAAACTTCCTGGAGAGTCCAGGAAGTCAACCAGCTGTCATTTTCAGCTTCTATTTCAGGAGATGACAAAGATAAATAAAACTTTAAAATATTAAAGATCTACGATGTGCAAGGTAAGTATCACCATATATAAGCAGAATTAAATTAAATTCTACTTAAATAAAGCTCACCCACAATGCAACTTCCAAAGGAATAATGATGGCGAGTAGTTTTTTTTTGTTGTTGTTGTTGTTTTTTACCCTGAGGTATGTGATTTTGCACTTCCCAGGAAGTTACTACAAGAGACTTTGGGTATTCGCACAATGCTGCTGTGTTGGCACTTACAGCTCTGAGCAGTGGCATAACCTGCCCTCCCCTTCCCTGTGGCTAAGGAAAACCGCTGCTGACCCTCGGCTAACACACTGCCCACGTCGGAGATGTTCCCAGAATCTTTGTGGAATGAGAGAATATATAGATGACCGGATCCACTTCACACTTCACTCTGCAATAAGCAGAGCACGCATCATGTGTCCCTTTGTATACCCATCTGCCATGGGTTTGGTTAACTCTTTGATACAAAGACATTGGAACTGAAAATTCAGTGACTTGTGTAAAAGCCAAGATTTTAAATCAAAACTGGCACTACAGTCCGAGTATGAAAAAAAACGGGATGACACCATTGGTCCTGCCCAACTTTTAACATTTAAGTATAATTTCCTTCATTAGTTGTGCTTCCCTGGTCTAACAAAGCCCTGAGGAAATGAACCATCAAATGGGTAAAGGCATCAGAAAATTCTAAATGTGGCACAACTTCACATGTGTGCAATGATTTCACCCATGTAAATTGCTGCTAATTCCCCCCAAACTTAGTAATTTTGTATCAATATTTATTATGCTCATGGGTCCCCTGGTCCAGGAGTGTGGACAAGGCCCAGAAGGGGCAGCTAGACCCTGATCCACAATATCTGGGCCCCTACTGGAGCCTGGAAGGAGGAGCTGGGATCACCCGGAGGCTCGCTTGCCCACATGTCTGTGGGAGAGAGGAGTTATTGGCTGGGACTTGGTCCCTCTGCATGGACCTCTGTGTGTCGTCTCTCATGCAGGCTAGCTGGGCTTCCTCACAGTGCAGTGCTAGGCTCTGTTGAGGCATCCCGAGAAGAACCAAGCAGAAGCCATCTCCTTTCTATGGCCAAGGCTCCAATGTCACATAGCATTACATGTCTCATACCCTATTTTATATGAACATACATATTACGTATATAGACGTGTATGTATTAGCTATTGCCTTATAATAGCCTAGCAGCTCAGCACCAAAAGCATGGATCTCAGAGGGTTCCTTAGGGCAGGAACCTGTGAGCTTCACTGTGCTGGCTCAAGGCTTCTTGTGAGGCTGCAGCCAGTGGCTGAGCTGCAGTCATCCTGACCCGCGTAGTCAGCTGGTTGTTAATAACAGGAAGGAGCAGAGCGAAGGCCAGACACCACAGGCCTATCACTGGGAGCTTCACCGGGAAGCTGCAGTTTCACTCTCCCTGGTGGCCAGCCAATGGGAGGCAGATGCATGCCCAGTGAAGTTGGGGGAACGAGGGAAGGTGCTGACAGCAGCTGGCTCCCCCAGAGAAAAGGATCAGGAGAGAAAGAGAATTCGTACAAGTTGGAAGGGGTCATACCTTTTCAACCTAGTTCTGAAGTGGAGTAGCATCGCTTCTTCCCTCTGCCACTGGCCACACAGGCCAGGCTGGCTCGGTGCAGGAGGGAAAACAGAGGGAAGGAGGAACAGAAGGTGGGACACGGGGGCCTCTGAGAAATATAACCTGCCCACATACGTGGTCACACAGCAACACCTTACTCCTCCTGACCTTGTGTGAAGTGGAAGCTTATATTTTGTTTGGCTCTGTCCTCTCCCTCAGCTTCCTGCATGAGGAGGGATCAGGAAGCACTTGTCCAGCAGGTGCTGTACAAGGCGTAACAAATGTTTGCTCCTGGCCTGTGTGCTCCTCCTGCATGTGGAGTACTTCTCAGCCCCCTCGCAACACTTCTAGACAAATGAATGGCGCAGAGAAGACTGCTGCTGTCAGGCAGAGGGACTAAAAAGCAGTCCTGATGCACCCTTCTCCAGAGTGAGACGGGCTTGGAGGCACAGGCTCCACAGGTGCACCAGAGCATAGCTGGTCTGCACGAGAGACAGCAGCCACGGGATTCTCCAGAGCGGCCACTGCAGCCTGGCCTGGCTGGTTCCGTCGCAGATCTGTCATCTCGGCCATCAGTCCCGCTGGCCCCAAGTTGCAGATGAGAAAACTGAAGCTCAGAAAGGCCATGAGATTTTGTCACTCAGTTTGTAAAATAGGAACATGATTGTTACCTTTACAAAGTGTTGTTATGAGGATTACGTAACAGTCAAACATAAACCCTTGACAAATGCTTATTATGACTTCCATCATTTCCAGACCACAGCTTCAGACCAGATACGAATGTTTCCATGATTCTTCTCCCTTCCCCTGACTCAGTTTTCAAAACATTTTGCAAACACATTCAAATCCCTAAGAATATCTGTTCCCCTGGCTTCTCTTGGAGAAGATGTCACAGGTTTCTGCTTGGGCGTGTCTCACCTCCTGGCAGGCGGCAGCACTGCTGGCTCAGGAAGCAAGTCCCTCACATCCTGAACTCATAGACTTTCAGGGAAAACAAAGCTCGCTCTGCAGGAGCACCGGGCAGGACAGTGGAGGGACGTTGCCCATGCGCTCCCACGTGCTGGCTAAAGAACCACTATTTGTTCCTCAGCACAGAAACAGTCACATAAATGATGGCTCACATCAACAAATCAACAAACGACAAGTGTTGGCGAGGTTGCTGAGAAAAAGGAACCCTGGTGCACTGCTGGTGGGAATGCAGACTGGTACAACCACTGTGGAGAACAGTGTGGAGTTTCCTCAAAAAACTGAAAATGGAACTCCCATTTGACCCAGTAATCCCACTTCTAGGAATATATCCCGAGAAACTAGAAACACCAATCAGAAAGGATATTTGCACCCCTATGTTCATAGCAGCACAATCTACAATAGCCAGAATTTGGAAACAGCCTAGGTGCCCGTCAGCAGATGATTGGATCCAAAAACGATGGTACATCTACACAATGGAATACTATGCTGCCATAAAAAAGAAGGAATTCTCATCATTTGCAGCAACCTGGATGGAATTGGAGAACATCATGCTGAGTGAAATAAGCCAATCAATGAAGGAGAAACACCACATGACCTCACTCATTGGTGGATGATAAAGATCATTATAAACTGATGAATCAAGAGACAGATATAGAGAAAGTAAAGCAACAGGCAGACTGTCAAATAACAGTGGGGAGGGGAGGAAGATCTGGAGGAGATAATAGATCAACCGAAGGACTTGTATACATGCATATAAGTACAACCAATGGACACAAAACTGTGGGGAGGGAGGGGATGTGTGGGAGGGAGGGAGGGGGGCAAAAAAATTAATAAAATATGTAAAAATAAACAAACAAACAAACAAATAAATAAATAATAATGAATTGTGTCCCCCCCCAAAAAAAATAAATAAATAAATGATGGCTCAGCCACATAGTTAACTACTAGGCAGTCACTGAAAAGGCTGATGCAGAAATGTAGGGATCCTGACCCGGAGAGGAAAAGCAAGTTCCAGGAGAACTCTGAGAGATAATCTGATTTTGTAAAATAAATATATGTTAAGTTAGGTACATAACTGTGCATGCATTATTATGTGCCTATATACTAGGCCAGTGGTCAGCAAACTCATTAGTCAACAAAGCCAAATATCAACAGCACAACGATTGAAATTTCGGTTGAAAGCCAAATTTTTTAAGCTTAAACAACTTCTTCTAATGCCACTTCTTCAAAATAGACTCGCCCAGGCTGTGGTATTTTGTGGAAGAGCCACACTCAAGGGACCAAAGAGCCACATGTGGCACACAAGCCGCAGTTTGCCGACCACAGTACTAGTACATGTATGTATACAGTATATACATATACACACTCACATGGATAAACACACATATACACACACCTGTATATGGAAAAACACATATAGAAGAATCACTCTAAATTGCTAATTCTAATACTTTCTTGGGTAGGACTCAAAGGTTGCAAAGATGCACATTTAGTTTATAACCCCTATACTGTTTGAATTTGCTTTAATTAACATATATTATTTATTTATAACACACTACAGAGTACATCAATGAACATAAACTATCCGTCTCCCAAGTGAGAACGATGTTCATAAATCCAAGAGGGATCAAGCTCTGGGACAAATGCTTTAAGTGCATCATCTCAATTAATCCTCACAATGCTTCTCTCTGCAGGTGTAATCACCCCTGTGTGGGAACCATGCCAATGAGAGCACAGAGGCCTTCTTATTCAAATACCAGGATGTTCAAAGCTCTTCCAGGATAAGTCTAATCGGGGTGCTCAAGGCCAAGATACCACGAGCGGGTGCAAGGACATACTGTGCCTTTCTGTAACCCAAATAATTGATGTCACTGTTGGCAGCTAGCCTGCTTTTTCTCTGCATTAATACACAGGCTTCTGACCAGTTAGCCTGCAAAAGAGCAGCTGGGCAGAGCAGAGGCGAGAGAGCTCAGAGGAGAGGCGGTAGCACAGAGGATGTACGGTACTAGCAGCTCCTATGTGTGCAGGAGAGAGGAGCGTTCGGACGGAGCTGAGAGCTGGTACTGCTATGAAGGAAGGCTAGGAGCTCCCAGAGAGCTCAGATACAGCTGCCATGTTACCCCACCAGTGTTCTGGGCAGGGAGGCAGGAGAAGCTGCTGAGCCAGAGAAGCCATGAGGCTGCAGCTCGAAGGGACAGCGCAGGTGCTATTGCTGTGTAAAGCTTTAGGTTTAGAGGCAGCGTGCGGCTGCTCAGATAACAGCTATGGGTACAGAGACTAATGCTGCTTTATGGGAAATACAAGTATTTACCAGCTGGTGTGCAGCTGCCTGCCTGTATGGGCTTTGCTGCAAAGAACTGTCTTGTCTGGTAGTTCTGTGGCCACTGGCTCCTGCAATAAAGACTCATCCTTATAAACCCGAACCACTCGTGGCTTCTCCACTGCCCCGCCTCAGAGAAAGAATTGACCTGCTGTCTAGTGAGCAGAGGATAAAGGGGGACTTGGCTTAAGTTCCCAACAGTGAGTGTAGTGGGCAGGGTTCGAGAAGGAACCAGCCCTGGCATAATCGAAGCAGTGCTGAGCCGAGTCCCTGTTGGCTGACACCCTGTGTTACAGATAATGACAGTGCAGCTCAGAGTCAAGGGTGCAGGGTCACACAATTGAATGTGCAGCAAAATATATCTGTGAACAAGATATGCTTTTCCCAAAATGCGCCCACTGACTCCGCACGTATTATGCTGTGCTTTATGCAAATTCACCTGCTTATCAAACTTGGGCTTCAGAGATTCTTCTGTGAAAATGTGGAAGTGCATCTTCCCGTGGCTGAAGAGCACGGCTGACTTCAGCATGACCAGCGTCTCCTCCAGCCGGTTGCCGCAGGCCACCACAGCCAGGTGCATCCAGAGCCTCGGGGGCAGCGCGGCATGGAAACTCCTGGGCTCTCCGGGTCTCCTGGAAGGGATACACGTTAAAGCTATTCCTCAACTTATAAAAACAGCCAGTAAGTGGTTGGAACATTTCAAAACATGTGCCTGCTCATTTACAAAGTGATAAGCAGACAACTCTTACTGTTCAGAGAACAAGACCATGTATCCAGCATTGACCCTGGCAGTGGCAGGATGTCACAGTTAGGGCTGTGGGAGGGGTCTGAGACTTCCATGCTAACACGCAGCTGTCTGGTGCCTGCCGGCACCACTGGCTCGCTGGGAAATAGCATCGTAACCTTGACAGCTGTAACAGGGGCTGGGAAGCTCCCCTCACAGAGGCCATGGAAATTAGATTTGAATGCAACTTGAGTAAGAGGGTGGGACATGGCTTTTCTCATGTGAAATGAGCAACTTGTGATCCCATCATCGGGGTGGTGTTAGGAGGTGGGGGTGCGTGACCACGGATCCAAAGGGAAAGCACCATGTCCGGGAGGGGAGCACAGGAGCCCACACAGTGCTCCGACACCTGCTGGAAGAGGCACGAAGAAACGGCGTAAATCTAGCCATCCACTCACGGTGGCAGAGGGTATGTGTGAAATTCAGCTTTCAGTATGAAACTGATATTAGTGAGAAACAGGCAGGAGAGGGGGCAAGTTAAACTGAAAATTACCAAGAAATCAAATACCCAGTTAACAGCTGAGCGGGACTAGGATCCAAGAGTCCTGCTATTTCATCATAACAAAGGATTTGTTCCAGAAGAGGGGGTGATGCCCGCACAAACACAGCACTGAGAAATAGTCCCGGCTAGAGGGGAAAGGGGCCGGAGCGGTCCTGAGACAAAGGGAACTAACGTACTCGAGCAAAAGATGCAGACAGGGAAGCCTGGACGTCGGAGACCCCTGCCTTCTGAGCCTTGAGCACAGCGAGAAGCGCAGCAAACTGCCCATGAGAGGAGGGCAATTTGCTCCTATTCCTTTCCCCAGAAGGAAAGTTAAAGACGGGGTGGAGCTTGCTGGGCAGCTTCCTAATTCGATCACTCCTGAGCATGCTCCGCGAGCCAGGATGCAGAAAGTCCCTCCGAGCCCACTAGTTTTGGTGAACACCGGAAAAGACAGCAGCGAGGTCCCAAGTCTCTCCCTAGATTATCCACTTCTGTTCACTCTCCCGGTGAAGACCACCGTCTTCCCTCCCCTTGATATCTGGGGCAGTTCCCCTGTGAGTGCAAAAGTGACTGCAGCGCAATAAGGTATTTTGAGAAAAAGACAGACTGAACTTTTATTACAGTACTAGAGGCTGGTGCATGAATGTGTGCACGGTGGGGTCGGTGCCCTCCCCAATCCCGGTGATCAGGGCAGGCCAGATGGGGGGATGGCCAGCCAGCCCCCTGGTCAAACTCCCAGTGGAGGGGACAATTTGCATATTAGCCTTTTATTATATAGGATATCTTTATAATTATTCTATTTGCTGTTAGTCTCTCACTGGGCTGAATTAATTTATTCATTTATTTATTTATTTTTAAATATATTTTATTGATTTATTCACAGAGAGGAAGAGAGAGGGATAGAGAGTTAGAAACATCGATGAGAGAGAATCATCCTTCAGCTGCCTCTTGCACACTCCCCACTGGGGATGTGCCCGCAACCAAGGTACATTGGGCTGAATTTATTAATTAAACTTTATCATGGGCTTGTATGTACAGGAAAGAACATGTATAAGTAGCCCCTCTCTGGGGCAGATATGCTCTGAGACCCCCGTGGATGCTGAAAACCATGAGGAGAATTGAACCCCATCCATATGTTCTAAGCACTTCACAACACCTCTTTGGCAGATCCAGATTGTCAGCATCACTACTCCTGCATTTGGAGGCATTATCATGTACAAGACTAATAATGTGGCAATCAGCTGCTAACATATCTGCTGCTAGTATTAATGGAGAGAAATGGTGCCCCTACATGAAACGGGCATAAGGAAAATGAATGCAACATGATTATAATAATCAGTCATTAGCAAATGTTGTTCATTATTAATAATCCTAATATATGAAAACCCAGGGTCCGTAATGACTGACGGAAGGCTTGACTGAACACCAGAAGTCAGTCTGCAGTCTGCGACCCAGTTCTGACTGCCGAGGGGGCTGGGGATCATGCTGGGAGAGAGCCCCAAAGAGAGAGGCAGGGTCTGATCCGCAGCCTCCATGGCAGCTGTTGACCAGCCATTGCCTCTTTCTTTCTCTCCAGGCTTCCCAGGTGCCACGTCTCTATTTCTCTCGGGGCCTCCAGGGCTGTTGCTGATCAGCCCCGCCTCTCCAATCAGGCCCAGAGATAGGGCTGGAGATGCTGACTTGCATAGAAAGCGAACAATCAGAACCAAATTGGCCACCAGGGGAGGGCCGTGGGGGGCGAGATCAGGCTGGCATTTTGTATTGATAAAAGAGAAAAAGAGAAAGTGATGCAGGTGGGCATCAACACATCACCTTCTAATGGACCTAAGTCACTCTTACTGGAACCAAATCATAGATCTCAAATAAGATATCAAGTTTAAGAAACTCCTCTTCCAGGGGCAGTTTTCAGAGTTTCATAATTTAAATAAATCAAGTACTGAGGATAATTTGGAGATGACTGTAAAATGAATTAAATCTTCAACAAAAGTCTTCTATTTTCTATTTAAAAACATTTAAATAATGGTAAAATATGTTACATAAAATTTTGTCTTATTTTTCCCCTATTTTTAATTTCTTCTATTACAGTTCAATAGTATTTTATATTAGTTTCAAGTGTTCAGCATATTGGTTAGACATTTACATAATTTACAGAGATCTGCACCATACATAATTATCACAATATTACTGATTATATTCCCTAGGCCAGTGGTCGGCAAACTCATTAGTCAACAGAGCCAAATAATAACGTTGAAATTTCTTTTGAGAGCCACATTTTTCTTAAACTTAAACTTCTTCTAACGCCACTTCTTCAAAATAGACTCGCCAAGGCCGTGGTATTTTGTGAAAGAGCCACACTCAAGGGTTCAAAGAGCCGCATGTGGCTCTCGAGCCACAGTTTGAAGACCACAGCCTTAGGCTGTACTTCACATCCAACTACCAATACAAACTTCCTAATCTTGTCTCCATTTTCACCTCGCCCTTCAATTCCCCTCCCATCTGGCAACTATCAGTTTGTTCTTTGTATCTAGGAGTCTGTTCCTGTTTGTTATTTATTTTGTTCTCTAGCTTCCACATTTAAGTGAAATCATATGGTATTTGCCTTTCTCTGTGTGCTCATTCCACTTAGTGTAATGCCCTCTGGGTCCATCATCTTATCACAAATGGTAAAATTTTCTTTTTATGGCTGAATAACACTCCATTGAAGTCTTTTGTTTGCATATGAACTTTTGGATTATTCTATTTCTGTAAAAAAAAAAAAAAAAATGCCGTTGGCATAGGGACTGCATTTAACACATAGAATGCTTTGGGTAGTATGGACTTTTTAATGATGTTAATTCTTCCTATTATGAACATACTAGTATAGTAGCAACCATACTCAGGTAAAAACTGCTGTTTGAATTTTAACCCCTCTAATCTGGCTCCTGCACCTGATTAAACACAGGATATTTACCTCTGTTCCAGGTGGAGACCTGGAGACTAAGGCAATTTTCCCTTGCCTGGGACCAGGACCACAGGAGATTGATTCCCACTGACTGAGTAAACTTCAGAGATAGAAACTGTAGATAACCTTCAGAGATAGAAATTGTAGATAACCTCTGAGCTCTGCTTCTGTGTTATTGGCCATTGCAAGATAGGGCCACATTCCAATGTTCCCAGCCTTTAGAATTTAGAACAAAGGAAAATTCCTTTGTTTTGAACCTTTAAAAGGGACTGCCTAGCCTTGAAATGGTGAGGTCGTGTGGAGTCCACCTGCGTGTGGTGCTCTTGAGGCCGTCCTGGCCAGTTTTTCAATAAATCCTTGCCTGCTTTTTTAAATCAATCATCAGCCTCTGGTGGTCTTATTTTGAACCCAGGGTTTAACCCCACAACACTAGTATACTTCCATTTAAGTTTATCTTCATCTTTCTTCAAGATTTTACAATTTTCTAAGTATAGGTATTTTATCTAAGTGGTTAAATTTATTCCTAGGTATTTCATTTTATTTTTTAAGTAGTTGTAATGGGGTTGTTTCCTTAGTTTTCCTTTCTGAAAATTCATTACTGGTATATAAAAATATAGCTGATTTCTGAATATTAATTTTGTGTCCTGCTACTGTATGGATTCTATGCTGTAGTGTATAGCCCTGTGACTGTTTTGTAACTACCAATTTGTACTTCTTAATCTTGTCCCATTTTCACCCCATCCTTCAACTCCCCTCCCATCTGGCAACTATCAGTTTGTTCTCTGTAAAGTTTATCAATTCTAGTCGTGTTTTGGTGGATCTTTTAGTGTTCTCTATAGACACTATTATGTAATCTGCAAATATTGACAGTTTTACTTCTTCCTCACCAATTAGGGTGCCTTTTATTTCTTCTTGTCTAGTTGTGGTAACTAGGACTTCCAGAACTATTGAATAAGAGTAGTGAAAGCAGATATCTCTGTCTTATTCCAGATCTTAAGGGAAATGCTTTTAGTTTTTCCCTGTTGAGTCTGATGTTGACTGTGGATTTGTTATATGTGTCCTTTAATTAGATTGAGGTATATTCCCTCCATTCCCACTTTGCTGAGAGTTTTTATCATAAATTGGGGCAGGATTTTGTCAAGTGCTTTTCCTACATCTATTAAAATGATCATATGATTTTTATTCTTCATTTTATTTATGTGGTATATCAATCATGTTAATTGATTTGTGGATATTGTACCAAACCTGCATCCCTTGAATAAATCCCACTTGGACATTTTTTTAATGTATTGCTGGGTCCCATTTGCTAATGTTTACCTCCTCCCCCACAGGAAAACAAATGCACTTTATTTATTTTCAGTAAGTTTAAATCCTACATTTCTTGTAGCACCACTTTGAATATTTTGAGGGGGACAGAGGTACA